ATATCTGTCCCAAGAGTGTGATTATTTGCGTCTACGCTGTGAAACAGTAGAGAGTGGATTGAGAAAATTGTTGTCAGTAGGTGCCTTGCTATCGATTGATCCTTCTTTTGCATCAGAGGTGTTTGAGCTTCCATTAGGTCGAACTTTAGAAGAGCTTCCGAAAAGTTCTTTGATTGGTATGTTGCAATCATTGCGAACAGTTGGTGTAGAGCTTGCGTATAGAAATGCGCTTTTGGAGGTGCAAAACACAATGAGTTTTCCAGTAAGCGATAGTCATTTGAGAGCGACAGTTGTTACTCTCGGACAATTGTACAAAGCGCACGAGAAGAGTTAATGGACACTGTATAAACGTGGCTTCTCGGATCAGTGCGATGAGGGACTAACGGATGGCATGATGGAGAGGTACAGGGAACAATTGTATAGCCTTATAATTTCGTTAGGAAATATCATTGCTGCTCATTCGCCGGTGCGGGTTATGATGGAGATGGACCATGTAAAAAAGGAATTGAATGTTCTTGCGAGCATAAATAAAAAACATGAGAGTAGATTGCATGAGGTGGTGCTTGCACTGATTGAAGCCCTGCGGCGTCGATGTCCAAAGTGTGGCCGCCTAAGTCATTTGACACAGGGGGACTATAGAAAGATAAATGATTTGACGGTTGTTACACCTACGTGTGACAACACGACAAACCTTTATCCCTATGGAGATGTCGTTGTTGATGATAACGACAAGTTTGCAATGGAAGAAAGGAGAAGGCAGCTTCGCGGGGAGGACGATGTAGATGAATAGTGTTTTTTTTTTTTTTGTCGCATATGCATTAACTGCTGTTGGAGTGAGAATAGTAGGAGAGGCAGGAGCTAGAGTGGGAGGGAGAACGTGGACGTGGGGTGCGATGACGAACAGGAATGCGTGCTTTCACATTTGTTCATTTCATTAATGATGATGACAGTTTAATGGGTTTATGATAAAATTCTTTAATTCTAAATCTTTTGACACTTTTATTTGAATTTTCTCGCTCTCTGTCTCTGTTTGTCTTTCTCTCTCTTTTTCTCTTTGTCTCTCTTTCTGTCTCTCTCTGTCTCTCTGTCTCCCTGTCTCTCTCTTTCTCTGTCTCTCCCTCTTTCTCTCTCTCTCTCTATCTGTTTTTTTTTTCTTATGTCTCTCTCTTTCTCCCTCTCTTCAATTTGTTTCAACATTCCCTCTTTGGCAACTAATTTTTTCATTTGCATGAAAATATTGTTGATGGATAAAAACAAAGGTTGCTTTACTCATTTGTTCATATGTTATCTCATGTTGAATGTGTTCATTGTTATAAACATTATGTTACTATTTTGAGAGTTATATTTTATTTTATTTTTTTCAATATTGTTCTGCTCTCTGTGTTCGCTCTTATACTGTTCTACTATTTTTTTTTCTATCTTTTTTTTTTTTTTTTTTTTTTTTTTTTTTTTTTTTTTTCCGTTCGACATTGTCTTTCCCGAACAGGATTGAAATTTTGACAAACTATTATTCGTACATTAAAACATAAGTTCAATTGCCCATTTTTCACTTTGGAGTTTCATATTCTGTGTAGTCGTTTTTATCAAATCGAAATTTACCTTTTCTTGCTAACTTTCTTTAAATTTTGTTTCTTCGTTTTACATGGTTTTTAGTATCTGCTCTTATATTCTTCTACTTATTGCTTGAAAAATGAAAAACAAAACAGATGAGTATACTTTAAGAAATTTGTACGCGACAAAAAAGACGAGTATAAAAACAATATCTTTCACCCTCTCCCCCCCCCTTCGAAAAAAAAAAGCAATGCGAATATTGCATGTTATGGAAATGTGATTTAATGGAGAATCGTTAAAGAAAACCATCGATAGTTAAAATAACAAAATAACACAACAACAACACACATTCATCGTCTCCGATTACATATTGTGAAAGCAAAGCAAAACATACTTATCCCAAAATAAGGTACGTATAATTATGTTCGTTCCACGCTAAAAACGTTAAGGTGCTTACATGAACGAAAATAAATAGTGTTGAGAGGGTTGGGTCGCACTGTGTAATGTAAGGAATATCGGAGAAGGAACCCGTCCGATAATAAATAATGAAAGTGACAATAAACGTAACCTTTCTCCCAAGGCACCCGTGCTATTCCGAACGACCTCCTCTCATGTAAGCCTCTTCCAAAAAATCATGTTCTTTACCCCCTTTGCTTCTATTTCGTCTAAGTTACCCAAACAAGGGAGGAGAGGAATGGTGAGGTCATCAACAGTTTGACCGACCTCAATCGCTAGGAATGGCTCTTCCTGGAACCAGGACCTTCGAGGCTGGCTGGGGAGAGGTGCGGTATGCCGCATAGACCCATTTATGGGGGTGGTGCAACGTTGTTGTGGTGGAGCCAACGCCTACTTCTGAGATCCAGGCCTCGTGCCTGGGCGAGGAGGACGGGTGCCACAGACTACATTCTAGCGGTTGGGACTCGGGCAGGTTGGGGAAGACTTTTACCCTTATTTAATTTTTTTGTGAACGGTGACTGACTTAGGATACCCAAGGTTGGCCGCAAGTTACCGAATGCAATTGGAGTAAAAAAAAACTTCATTCCCGATCACAAACTTATACGAATAGGAAAGTGAGCCCTGTCGAGGAATGACAAAGGGTAAACGTGGATAAATGAGGTACGTATGACTCGATCCCATGGGGCCCTGAAAAGACTAAGGGGCGTGTAGGGAAAAAAAAAAAACATCTGAAAAAGAAATTATCGTTTTTTTTACAACCTTGACATAAACATTTAAAAAAAAAAAAAAAAAAAAAAAACGTGAACTCAACGTTTTGCTCTGTTCGTTTTTCGTTTTGTGAATCGTGCCACTAGACTTCGTATTCTATCGGCTAGTGCTCTAGGACCGATGACTCCAATCAGGAAGTCGTCCGCATAGCGAACATAGTGAATCCTTCTAAAATGACTCTGGCGAGCCGACGAACGCGAGGGCCGAAGGCGCGTCTTGAAGGCTGCTCTCCGATCGCCGCCGGATCTTCGCAGTGATCCTTTTTGTCCGCAACCTGCGGCGGTTGCCMTCTCTATCGACGACCCTCTATCGGCAATGCTCTTCAGTCGCATGACAAATTTCTCAAGCCCATGAAGTACCACATTGGATAGAAGAGGGACGAAGGCATTGTAAAATGTAATGTGTTCGTCTTTGTAAAAAGCGACCGACCGTATAAGAGGCCGCTTGATCTTATACAGGTGCCTTCACACTAGAGTCAAGAATCTATCATTTTGAATCTTCTTATGCAGAAGACTCATCAATAGTTGCCAACTTTGTTTATCATTTGACTATATTTTTTTCTTTTTTTGAATGCTTTACCCTGTATCTTTTCTATTACTACCATAATTACATCTGACTACGAACATTCTGGGATATATATCATCCTGCTGATTTTTAGATCTTCCATATTCCTCATAACCTTTGATTTTTACGTTCTAATTTTACGCTGTAGCCGCCTAAGAAGAGACGCATGTACTCCCGTTCAGATGGCGGGGGATGAAAGCATAGATAAGGATTCACACGACATTGATTTGTTTGTCGCTCCGAACTCTACTTCGTGTGCCGACGAGTCCTCGCACGTTCAATGGAAGCATCGAAGACGCCTTCGCCGTTGTGAAAGACCTGTTGTCGCTCCTTTGTTGCTGTCTCTTATACACATCTAGATGTGTATAAGAGACAGCCTAAGAAGAGACGCATGTACTCCCGTTCAGATGGCGGGGGATGAAAGCATAGATAAGGATTCACACGACATTGATTTGTTTGTCGCTCCGAACTCTACTTCGTGTGCCGACGAGTCCTCGCACGTTCAATGGAAGCATCGAAGACGCCTTCGCCGTTGTGAAAGACCTGTTGTCGCTCCTTTGTTGTCTTCTGCAACGATACCCAACTGTTATAACTCTCCTGCCATTGATTCCGCTCAAGTTCATTTTCCTTCGGTGCCAAATTCTTCTTTTTCGTCGAATGATGGGTTGGGATTGTGTGTGCGTTCTGATATTACTTACTGTCCCTTTACTACTGAAACACAGGTGTCATCAAAAGATGAACACCGCAAACGTGGTCGACCGCCTTCCCAGAGTCGTCGGACTCGCAGGTCTTTACTGCAACTGGTAGGTGGTGTGGGTGATGTGACTACTGACGGAAGGGAAAAACAACCGATGATAACTCCTGATCGCGCCCTTGATTGTTCTGTGGAAGAACAATGTAGTGATAAATCTTTATCTTTCCAACAAACAATTCCATTGTTCGATGGTATCGCAAGCCCTGTTTTTTTTTCCGGAGGAGTCAAGAAAATGTTGATGTTGGTACGAGTGAGATTCGTTGCCAAGGAAACCTGCCTGTCACCCTGCGAAGTGCACGACGTGATGAAAATTTCACGCATGATGCAGTCCGGATAAATTTTCTTTCTACGATCAAAACAACCTTTTCAGTGCATGATTCTTCCTTTCATTCGCCACATGTGCAAAACGGTTCGTCCTCCACATTTAGAGAAGATGTGCGACGAAGATACGTGCAACCTGATCTTTATACTTTCATCGCACCGGTTCATGCACAGGCATGCTCTTCTCCGTGAAACTTGCCAAATTCCCCGAACGCAATGGTTAGGAGGTTGGTTGGATTTTATAATCGTCGAAGGAGATCGGCAATATTGAAACCGATTCGTTCGAGCCGCAACATACGATATAGTATGTTGTGCCTTCGAGCACTCCGTACTGGTAAAGTCGCACGTCGTTTGAACCTTGGATCGTTGTCATCCGTACGTCCCCCTATGTTCCTCGACTTTGATGCACATGCGGTAGTTGTTGAAAGTACAGTGGCCAGTGGCGGTGCAACTGAACAAGTCCGTACGATGAATGACGATGAACCGAGGTCTGCATCGTATAAAATTTCCACTCGAAAAAAAAGACTTCAAAGACGGCCAAACTATCACGTTAAACGTATGCGTGCAATGAGAGCTGCGATTAAGAATTGCAGGAGGAACGACGATATGCATGCTCACAAACATTTTGTGCGGGGTGTGAGGCAAAGTTTGACCCCTGTTTATATCCTTCAAGAGATTCGAGCAACCGCCTCTGGACAGCCACGGGGTGCATCTTCTTCTTCGAAGGAAACGCATCGTCATTGTTCTCGACCGAGGCAATGGCGAAGTATGTCGGGGAGAGCGGAGCAGTCGCACAATCCGTCCGTTGTGATTCAAAATTCAATGAACAATCGGGAACATGGTGAGCCAGATAATCGGGATGAGGAAATGAATGATTTGGATGATGATCCACCTGCTTATATGAATGCACTCCCGTCTGTGTCTGTGGCAACACCGTATGCAGCGGTTGAGAACACCGTGACTATTGTTGCGAACGCTAGCACGGTTCGGGCATTCGACATTGGTGGTCGAGAACCGTGCAGGTATTGTGGTGCAAAGTTGTGGAATCATGAAAAAAGTTGGACAAAAATATATTGCAGAAAAGGTACGAGACGTTGTCCTCTGTGGGAATGGCCTCGAGAAGGGTCCTTGGAGCATGAAATTCTTTCTATTTGGACGTCTCAGACTCCCGACGGCCGATTCGTTCGAAACAATGCGAGGATAATCAATAACAGTTTATCTCTCGCATCCTCGCGGTTGAAGCAACCGAGCGATGGCGTTCAGGGATTCCAGGGCCAACTTCGGGCTCAAGGTCCGATCTATCATCGTGTCGGTGCATTGGCTGTGGGGGAAGGGGAACGTCTTCGGTTTGCACAACTTTACTTGCACGATCCTCACCGTTTGGATGATGCGATTGATCAAAGAGTGGATTTCCTAAATTTGTCTGCACACACGTCTGATGTCGAACTTCACCGAATGAGACGACTCTTAAAAAGGTTTCGCAAGTTGCTACAACAGTGTAACAACTATGTGAAGGACTTCATGACCATCACCGACCTTCCGCCAAGAGCGTTGAATGGAAGGAAGTTGGTCATAAATCCGGATGCTATGCCCGCGGAGGAACATGCGAGGCGTTACAACCGTCCAATGGGGCTACAGAAGGTATGCGTTCTCATGGCGGATGACCTTCTTCCTCGTGAGCTTGAGATTCGTTTGCGTGCTCCTCTTTCGGGTGAGCAGGCAACAGTTGTCGTTCCGGAGTGTTCCCGAGTGAACGACTGTTTGAGGTTTGTTTTGCTTTTCCCGGAAGGAATTGATAGTTGGTCTGTCCGCCGTGCCTCGGAAGCTGGATGGCCGCCAGGACTCAGTGCCAAGGAGTACTATGCGTTTCACCTGCACGAACGTGATGGTGAAAGGCCTTGCCTCCTTTATGCGGCACGTCTTTTCCACGAGTTTTGTTGAATGGCTTACGCTAAGGTTGAATCCCTTCGCTTAAAATGGGTAAGATTTCATCAGAAAGACTTGCGGTCGGAATATTATCAGGACCTGCGAGACGCTGTGCAACAAAATCAGCACAGTGATGGTGTTGGGACAAAAATACTTCTGCCTTCCACCTTCACTGGGGGACCGCAGTATATGACCGAAAGATATCATGACAGCATGGTAATCGTGAGGCGGTTTGGAAAACCCGATCTTTTTATCACTATGACGTGTAACACAAACTGGCCGGAGATCCAACAAGCCCTCTTGCCAGGTCAAAGTGCAACCGACAGGCCTGATCTTCTTGCCCGAGTGTTCAAAGGTTATCTCACCCAGCTCATTGACGAGATTAAGAAAAAACGGATCTTTGGGAGAGTCGATGGAATGTTGTATGTGGTGGAGTTCCAAAAAAAGGGTCTGCCGCATGCACACATATTGGTCATCTTGCATCCGGATGATAAAATCCGCGATCCAGATGCTGTTGACAACGTAATGTGTGCAGAGATTCCGCCTGAAGGGGAATTGAGAAAAAGGGTTGTCAAATTCAAGTTGCACGGCATTTGTGGTGAGGACAAGCAAGATGCTTCGTGTACCGAGAACGGGAAGTGCACCAGAGGGTTTCCAAAAGAATTCATTACCACGACAACCTTCAAAGATGAACAAACTTACCCTTCTTACAGGAGAAGAAAACAAAGTGACGGTGGCTTTACGGTCGTTCAAAATCACGTTGTTTATGATAATCGTCGAGTGGTCCCGTATAACCCGTATGTTGTGCTAACATCAAGACATGCAAGTATGTGTATAAATATGTGTATAAAGGGTGTGATCGTGTCATGGTTTGTGAACAAGATAACCCGTATGTTGTGCTAACATCAAGACATGCAAGTCGAGTGGTCGTTCAAAATCGTACTTGCTGATGAGGTTTAACTGCCACATCAATGTCGAATGTTGTGCTAACATCAAGACATGCAAGTATGTGTATAAATACGTGTATAAAGGGTGTGATCGTGTCATGGTTTGTGAACAAGATAACGATGCACCTGTCGATGAAGTCAAATCCTATCCAGATATGCGTGTAGTTGGTGCGTGCGAGGCATGCTGGCGTCTGTTTGAGTTCGATCTTGCGGAACAGTGGCCCGCAGTCGAAAGATTGCCTGTGCATATCGAGAACATGCAAAAAGTGGTGTTCGAACCGGGCACTGTGTCGTCTGTTCGGTCTTTATTATCCGACCCCTGATGGAGAAACAGTTGCCGACGACATAAGCAGGCATTACGAGAACAGGACTGTGTCGTCGATTATAAATGACGAGTTGTCGTATGATCCGATTGAAATGCGAACTAGATTCGAGTCTAATTTTCGCCGTCTTCGACCGCACCAACGAGCGCTCGTGCAAAGAGTTGTTTGGGCGGTGGAAGAGAAACAACCGCTTTATGCTTTTGTAGATGCGCGACTCTTTTGACCGGTGGTAGAACATTTCACTCGCGATTTCGAGCACCTTTGAAACCTGATAACACGCGTCCCTTCAATATTCCGAAACAGGGTGATCTTGCCGAACTTATCCGGCGTGCGGACTTGATCGTTTGGGATGAGGCTCCGATGAGTAACAAGTTCCACTTGGAAGCTCTTGACATTACGCTTCGAGATCTCTGTAACAGTAACCTCCCGTTTGGAGGAAAGGTTTTGCTTCTTTCTGGGGACTTTCGGCAGGTTTTGCCCATTGTGAAGCATGGGTCTCGAGCGCAGCAAATTGATGCCTCTATCAAAATGTCTCCTTTGTGGAAACTCTTTGAGGTCCATTGCCTGAATGAGAATATGCAGATCTTAAGCTTAGGGAATGATCCAATGGCGCGAATGTATGACATGTTTTTGATGCGTATTGGGAATGGGGATCCTATTCGTTTTGTTCCTAACGAACCTGCCGCGGTCAAACTGCCGCATGAGATTTGCACTGATAAACCTATTCGTGATTTGATTTCCTGTACGTTTGAGGATGTGTGTGAACACGTTGGGGATGCTGACTATTTTAACGCTCGATTGATTCTCTGTGCCACCAATGATGATGCGGGGTGTGTTAACGATATGGTTCTCAACGATTTCCCTAGCGAGGTGCGTGAAAGTTATAGTGTTGATTACCCTGCTTCTGATCATCATGAACTTGCTATCCAACAGGAGTTCTTAAATTCTCTCAATGAGTCTGGTCTTCCGCCTCACAAACTGCGATTGAAAATTGGTGCGCTTGTGATGTTGTTGCGCAATTTGTCGCCCAAACAAGGACTAAGCAATGACACAAGGTTAATTCTTAAAAAGATTGTTGATGATGATTTGTTGGAAGTGACCATAATGCGTACCGGTGAAACGACACTGATCCCCAAAATCGATTTAACAAGTCATGGTGAAACCACCGGGTTTAAATGGAAAAGGAGGCAGTTCCCCATCCGTCTTGCATTTGCTGCGACCATTAACAAGTCGCAAGGACAAACTGACTCTCGTGCCGGGGTTTGGTTGCGCAAACCTGTTTTTGCGCATTACCAGTTGTATGTTGCTTTGTCGCGCGTTGGTCATCCCAACAACATTCGTGTTGCATTGCCCGACTAAAAATTCATCACAAATAATATTGTTTACCATGAACTTTTGCAATGAGTTTTTCTCTTTTGCACTCCATATCTCTTTCGGTCGTCGATTCTGAGCGTTCCGAATGTTTTTTCCCTGCTTTTTTTATATATTTCTCTTTTTGCAGGCGGTTCTCAGTTGCGCCACAAGTATGACACTCATGCTAATTCCAAAAGGCTGAAAGTGACAAGCACCAACACTGCAACTGATGCTAATGGCAATGTTACATCCAATTATTCGAGTTGAGTGTTCGGAACCGTAAAAAATGAGCCGAAACGATGAGATGTCTGTCAACCTTCGAACTGGAGCAGGTGGCCGAGGTGCTGATCCTGGACTTGAAGATGAACATGTGTCTCCTCAAGGGAACTCCCTCGAGGATGCTAAAAATATGTTTGTGGACGAGGGGCGTCCTTATTCTCGTGCGAAAGGGGATAGTTGTCAGGGGGATCGGTCGGGTGATGCTGGTAAAACTGTGTTGAGTGATGATAAAGAAGAGACCTCCAGTGATGGCTTTGGTGACCATGTTCAACCTACATTCAAAAGAAGGAGCAATCAAACTGTGAAAAAAAATATTTTACCTTCGTCCGATGACCTTGAGCCCACCCTTCGTGATCGTCGAGTGACTGACAAAGTTGTTAGTCCCGAAACTGCGACTCAGGTTCTGAGATCACTTCACACGATCCCTCCTAATGTGCTTTTGAACTATGATCATGATCCGTGTTTGAACTTGCCACGTCGTGAAGGTGGAGCGATTGCTCGTGTCCCGTCCCAAACACGAAATTGTGCGACAGTTGTTGATGTGCCCGATGATAGCAATCGCCCATCGCCGGTTGCGTCTGTTCCTAATCCGCGCGCTTACCTCTCTCAATGGTTTGATCATGCAAAGAAGGTTGGTTTGCGAACGATTTTGAATGAGATTTTTTGAAATGTTTGTCAAGACTGCGACGGTCGTGAAGGATGAATGGATATGGGAAAGATTCCTTGATTGACAGAGAACTAAACTCACTGATATGCGTTCGGAACGAAAATTCTCTCTGCCCTCCAATCCGTTGAATATTTCGGATGTGGAGTCCAACTGGATGTTCCAATCCCTTCTGCACGATGAGTACATTGCGCTCAGCAATGAAGAGATTGCAAGAATGACATTTCATTTGCCCTATTGTCCGACGGATGGTACTGTTCCGGAGCCCTTCTTTAGATATGCTCGTATACAAAGTCTCATCAAAAGAATTCCTGTCGGTGTTCCTTCTTCCGCTCCTCCTCGCGCTACTGTCCGTCCACTGTCATTACCGGCACCGTCTCCTACGAAGTTTCAACGTCTTGCAGATTACGCTTCGCCGTCCAATGTGGCGACGACTGTCGTCACTGCTTCTACGGTTGTTTCTGCTTCGCCTGCCGCTATGTTTACTCCATCTCCTACTGATTGCGTTGTTCCCGCTCCTTTCGATATTGTCGTCTATGAGTCTCTTGCATCCATTGGTCCCAAAAATGTGCATGCGCATCTCTTCCATCTTGATAGCTTTCACAGGTTGCAAGATATCGCACAAGCGGCTGACGAGCTGCGTACGGATATGAACACGTGGAGGTCTGTTGATGCTGCCATCCATCTTGACTACAATCGGCAGCGACAAAGTCCATTCCAAACTTTTGAGGATTATCGCCAGGAAGTGCTACAACAGAGTTCTGTTCGTGAGATGTTACGAGAGTTTCATTCGACTGATGGGAATTGATTGCTCTTACATGAGATGGA